TTGACATCTGCTTACACCCTTAGCATAACCGCAAGAAGGATGGTGGGGGTGGAGGGGAGGGGAGGTTAAAAGAGATTTTACCCAACGCAGGGGAGGTGCAGGGCCACAGGAGAAATGGCAGTACCCAGGGCACTCGGGTTGCCCTGCGGACCCTGTACACTCACACCAACCTGGCGAGACCGGCTTTCAAGGCAAAAACACAAACAGCTGCGGGTTGGGGGCGGGCTGGGCCAGCAATTATTTAAAAGAGATACAGCTTGTCCGCCTCCTTCCCAATCCCTTCCCAGTCCACCTGTCGCTGGGCTCATGTCCCGCAGATTTCGCTCCTTTCCACGGGAGGGCGCCAGAGCCCGCGTTCTGCTCTTTGGGCCGGGCAGAGGCAAAAAAGCCGCCTTGTGTTTCAGACCTTGGTGGCTGCGCCCGGCCACCTGCAGCCTCCGGCACTCTGCGCGCCCGGCAGATGCGGCAACTCTCAGGGCTGGAGGGGAGACACCAGCCCGCGTGGAGGGGAGTGACTGCGTGAGGACCAGGCTGCGGGTCGACCTGCTCAGGGACTTGGCCCCTCAGGGACTTAGCCGGGAGCAAAGAAGATTCCAGGGCTGGGCCCTACTTTTCTGAAAAGGATTTAGTTTGAAATAGGAAATGGGCCTATTCTATGTGCTTTGGGAGGCAGATCTGTGACCCATAGATAATATTTATCAGCAGAGAGATTTCAGCTCCACACAGGGAGGCGGCACGGGGTAGGCAGGAAGAGGGGGTTAACCAAGGGAACTCCCAGGGCAAGGCTGGCCCGCAGTCACTACCTCCACCACCTGGACAAGTCGCTTGGCTGCTCGTAGCCTCAGTCTTCCTCTCTGTGAAATGGGGTCGCTGTGGAGATTCAATAAATGGACAAAGTGCTCAGCATAATATATATTTTTTTAATTTTTAAGCGCCCAATAAAATAAATGGTAGTAGCTAACCTTGAACTCTTATTCTACGGAAGGCTTGGTGCCCCCACCTATTCATTATCTCTAAGCTGCCAAACGCCCCGGGAAGTAATCGTCCCTACCCCTATTTTATGAACAGAGGCCAGTAGGGTGGAGAGAGGGTAAGAGATTTGCCGAAGGGGGAGCGGCCAGGAGGCCACACCGCTGACTTCGGGTCTGTCTGCCCTCAGAGCGGCACGCCTGCCAGGAACACCAGGCCGCCCGCCTGTGTCAATGCGCGGTTCTCACCCAGATGGCCCCTAGGTCTGGCTAGCTGCTGGCAGTTTTATCTGTCACGCACAATGACGCAGGGGCACATATGCTGTTCTGGCAAAGGCGCGCCCATTTTCCAGTGTCGGTGCAAGCCGAGGATGAACAGTCCTGGGAGCAGGGGCGAGGGAGGCCGAGCGCATCGGTTCCCCGCCCCCAACGGGGGCAGCAGAAGGTGCAGCTGGCGGCCCGGAGCGGAGCTGCCAGCCCAGGCATCTTGCGGCTGGATTTTGCACAGCTTTCCTGCTCCATTCTTTCTCGTTTTTGACACTTGTGATTATTACCAATCCTGGTGGCGCTGACGCGCGGGAGTGCAATGGTTACCATGGCATGCTTAATAAGCGAGAGCAGATGTTTGGCAGCCTAACCGCGTGCTTTCTAAATACACAAGGCGAAAGTCGGTGGAGGGCGTAATTGATTTGCTGACTGCAGTGGGAAGGCAGCCCACGCCCTGCGCTGGGCCCCGGCGCCTCACCGCACGCTCCCTCTAACACAGCGCACGTTCTCATCCCCGGCTGACCGCTAGGCCTGGCCTCGCAGGTTGTCAGTTCCCGCCTGCTCTCTCCTCTTCCGCTGTATTTAACACCTGCAGCCTCCCCGACAAGCTACGCATGATCCGTCCCCATCTGGGCCTTCCCACAAGCTGTTCCCTCTATCTGGTACCCCCTGCTCCACTTTGTGGGCACCGCCCATGGGTCTCCCAACGCTGGACTGGGCACCTCGCTCCAGCAGGCCTGCATTAGGTGCAAGGGGCAGCACCACTCTGCTGCCCATCCTTTCATGGAACTTGCTGCCAAGCTGTGATTACTTGTTTATTTTCCTGAGTTTCTTGAGTGCAGAAACCATGATATTTATAAGAATGATCTTGACTTAATTTATATGGAGAATTACGTGACACCAGACCCCCATTCTTTGCCACTGGTAGCACAAAACACCTTCCCAGGGGGCCCAACACTGCGTGCTCCAGGCCTCCCTCCAGATGGTGTTGCTGCTATCCGTCCGCAGAGTCCCTCTCTTACCTCCAGCCTTGCTGGTGGCCTTGCCTCTGTTTAAAAACACGACAGGCTTCTCCCATTCAGTTCTACCCTTTCAAATTCTGCCCATAGATCATGGTGCCCCTCAACTGGGGCCCAGTCCTCTCTGCTACGCCCTTCCCAAGCACAGTGACCAATTCTCAGTTATGTACCGCTTCCCCCCACCCCTGTGCTCGCCACACCTGACCCCCCCAATGTGCTGTTCGTCTCTATTTCAGGGTTTTGACTCCCTCAGGTGTAGCCAAGCACGGTGGTTACGAGCCCAGGCTTTGGCCTCGGTCTCAAGTTCATGTCCTGATTTTGCTTCTTACTGGTTATGTGTAACATTGGCCACATGAAATGAGCCTGCCCAGTTTCAGTTACCCTCCTCCACAGGGTGGCTGCCTAGATTAACTGGGATGCTGAAGAGAAGAGAAAGTCTGTAGCTCAGGGCATGGAGCACAGTGGGAATGCATTAAATATTGCCACGATGAAGTCACTGTTTACATATTGTCCTGATCAGATGCCACCCCTGAGACTGCCCTCCTTCGGTTGGTGCCAGGATACCTCTGTCTACACTGGGAATGGTCCAGGTTCCTGGCATCTGTCACAAACAACTGGTGAGTGGAGGGAACTTACCCCACCTTGCTGGGCTCCAGTTTCCTATGTGTAAACTGAGGCTATGAAATGTAATAATTGAGAGAATTAAATATTTGAATACAATAAAGCTCAAAAACAATCCGAGCGGAGAAGTGAAGAGGACTAGTGGAAGGGGGATGCACAAGAGGGAGGCCTGGCTAATTTCCACTTCACTTTGAAGATGCAGGGACTGAAGCTACTTAGCAGGTGACTATGGCCCGGAGACTCGGTGATGTGACAGAACTCACCAGCCAGGCTCTCTGAACCAGCAGAAATGTGTGTGTGTGTGTGTGTGTGTGTGTTTGGAGATGACTTTTTGTGGGGCAGACCTATGGAAAATTTGCCTGGAGAAGAGGCACTACGGTTTTGACATTTTTTAACAGTGAAACTAGGAGTGAAGAAAGTTTCGTGAGTGTGATCAGGATACCAGATTACTCACACGGAGTAAGATAATGGGCACCAAGCAGCTTGCTGTAGGGGACTGAAAATAGAAAACATTTGTGAAGTTTGAGGGGTGAACCTCAGCTGGCTGGAGATGGGGGGATTGAGGGACCCCAGTCATTTTAGTTACACCCAAGCATTTGTAGCCTGTTTCCCCCTGTCTTTATAGAAAGTCTGTAAGTTTTAAAAGCTTTCTTTCAAAGGAAATGTAACTGTGGCTCATATTTCTTAAATTATGACATGCATCTCTTATGTCACATTTTCTGTTTTTTTTTTTATTAAGAAAAGAAACTTTACGTCAATGCTGAGAACCACTACAGCTCTATAGCAATTAGTGTAAGTGTAAAAATATTACAATCCAATATTAAATATTTTTAAATTTATTTTTTATTTCAAATTAATATGAGGGTATAAATTTTAGGTTACATTGTTCTCACTTCCAGGGTAAGTTCCATTTGTGAAAGGGCCCCTCACTCAGCGGGCGTGTTATACACCCTCACAATGTGCACAGTAGGTGAGATCCCGCCTCATGCCCTCCCTCCTTCTGCCAGTCCCCCCCCACTTCCCTCTACCCCTGAACTAGATTATATTAGTGTTTTATTGTTCTAATGAGCATGTAATTGTTTATGTATTGATTTCATGTTAGTATGGAGCACATTGGATATTTATTTTTCCATTCTAGTGATACTTTACTAAGAAGAATGTATTTCAACTCCATCCAGGTAAACGTAAAAGATGTAAAGTCTCCATCTTTTTAATGCCTCAGTAGTAGTCCATGGTATACACATACTGCAGTTTGTTGATCCATTCATGAGTTGATGGGTACTTAAGTTACTTCCATGACTTGACAATTATGAATTGAGCCACAATAAACACTCTGGTGCAAATGTCTTTGTGGTAAAATGATTTCTGTTCTCCTGGGAATGCAGGGTCAAACGGAAGGACCACATTTAGATCTTTGAGGATTCCCCATACCTCTCTCCAAAAGGGCTGCATTAGTTTGCAGTCCCACCAGCAGTGCAGAAGTGTTCCCTTCTCTCCACATCCACGCCAGCATCTAATGTTTTGTGACTTTATGATGTGGGCTGATCTTGCTGGGGTTGGGTAATATCTTAGAGTGATTTTGATTTGCATTTCTCTGGTAATTAAAGATGATGAGCATTTTTTAATATGCTTATTGGCCATTCATCTGTCATCTTCAGAGCAGTTTCTGTTTAAATCTCTTGCTCATTTATAGAGAAGGTTGTTTGTACTTTTCTTATTATTTAATTTGATTAATTGAATAACAATATATTAATTAATTTGATTAAATTAATTAAACATTAATTAATTAGATTAATAATGAATTATTTAATTAATTTTATATAATTTAATCTCCATAGATTCTAGGTATCAGGCCTTTGTCAGATTCATAACATGCAAAAATCTTCTCCATTCTGAAGACTGACTGTTCACTTTGTTTGTGGTACTCTTAGCTGTGTAAAAGCTTTTTAGCTTGATCAAATCCCAGTAATATATTTTTGATGTTGTTTCAATGGCTGGGGAGGGAAGGTCTTCCTCATAAAGTTTTTCCTAGGCCGATATCTTCAAGTGTTTTCCCTACACTCTCTTCTAGAATTTTTATTGTTTCGTGTCTTAAATTTACATCTTTTATCCGATGAGAATCAAAATGAATATGGAACACTTCATGAATTTGTGTGTCATCCTTGTGCAGAGGCCACGCTAATCTGTTCTGGATCATTCTAATTTTAGTATATGTGCTGCCAAAAGAAGCACCCTATGTCCCATTTCCAACAGTTAGAATGTGCACCTCTTTTGGAATATTGCAGGGGGCATATAATCCCTTTCCATCAATCTAATGCTCCCTTAACGCTACTGTGTGTCAGTGAACCTCAGATATTTTCCAGCACAGTGTGGGCTAGAGTCAACTAGTACCCACTCTCTCACCTCAGATCTGGTCATGTGAGAGCTGTGAATGAGGCCTCCTTTATGCTTACGAACTTCCCTGGCTCCCAGCATGGGTGACAGCCTCACACAGCTCTTTCTGGAGAGCTGGATTCTAAGTACAGATACGTCAGTAATTTGTGACATTGGGGATGTCTCTTCTCTCTTCTGGTCTTCAGGCTTCTCGTATGGAGAATGCCAGGGTTGGACTCCACCATTTCTGTCTGTTCAGGTGAGTTTTCTTCTGTAGCCCACTGATATAGTGAATTGCACTGAATGGTTTTTGAATGCAGAATCAGCCTCATCTTCCCAGGATAGACCTCACTTGGTATTAAACTTTCTACGTATTGTGTAATTTGGTTTGCTAGTATTATGTTAAGGATTTTTAAGTTTATGTTTTTTACTAGAGATGTTCGTGTATGGAATATTTTATTTGTACTATCTCTAGTTTTGCTATCTGGCTAGAGTATGAACTGGCTCATGTCCCTTCTTCTGTATTCTGGAAGAGTTTGAGTAGCATTGGTATTACTTCCTCCTTAAGTGTTGGTAGAATTTGACAGTAGACTCTTTCAGCCCTGGATGACCCAGAGTCCTTTGCAGTGACTCAGAAGAAGGCCCTTCCCTGCCAATAGGAGAATTGAGAATGTTCTTTTCTCCAAAGCATACATGGAGGTATCTTCCTCTCTAATCAACTCTTGTGCTGGCTCTCTAATTTGCAGGCTGCAGTTTTCCCAGAGTGACTTTGAGTCCCTGGGAGACAGTGAAATACAACGTAGAGGACTAGAGCTTTGCAGTCAGCAAGAGTCAAGCTGAGATCTGTTGTTCTGGCACTTAATAGTCGTGGGTCTTGGGCCCGTGTTCTTGAACCTCTCTGAGCCTCTGTTCCAGCATCTCTAACTGGGCATGGTAAGTTTTAGCTTACATGGCTATTGTGAGGATGGAATTATATAGTACTTATAAAAAGTCTTGCATAGCCAGTGTATACTGGCCTTTCTAAGCAAATAGGGATAGTCCATTGTACTCAGGCCTTGGGGCCTGTCTTGGTAAAAGGCCTATTTGCCCACTTTTGAATCTAGGGTAGAATTTTCCAAAGGGAGTTAGAAATGCAAAGACAGAACTTGATTTTTTTTTTTATTTTTGCCATCTGTTCAACAAGACAAATGAGTTTACCTTGGAAACAGCCACATTACAAAGTGATTGGTGGATGGGAACAATTTGTTATAATGCTCCAATTCCACTACTTCTTTCCAGGTGGGGAGAATGGCTTCTTCTGTTAGAGGGGCTCCAGAGCATTGCTCCCTCATGGGAAAAGGAGAACAGGCAGATATTCAAATCCTGACTGGAACCTAAGAGTGTGCAATCCTTTTGACTGCGAACAAAAAAAAAAAAGAAAAGTTATGAGTCAGCTGCTTAGGAAAATTCCTCACTGATGATGTTAGTACATAGAAGCAATTTCATCAGTCTGGGAAGCACATTTTCAGGACGCAAGATTAGTAGGACAGTAAGGACAGAATATTAATGAAGCCATCAGTGGGGGTAATAGTGCTGTTTCCATTCTGGGCGGCAGGGGGAGCTGTTGCCTCCTAATCCTAAAATAAAGGTTTTTTTGTTTTTTTTTTTAAATTAAATCATAGCTGTGTACATTAATGCAATCATGGGGTACAATGTGCTGGTTTATATACAATTTGAAATATTTTCATTGAACTGGTTAACATAGCCTTCATGGCATAATAAAGATTATTTTGGAAGGTGATTGTCAGAGTGTGGCAGAAGCTGGTCCTCTTCTGTTGGCTGTTGTGTTGTTCCACAATTTACTTACAGAAAATGCATTTGAATAGCTTCTTGACTTTTCTAGAAAGAACTAGAAGGGAAAATGAAAGTTAGTTACAATGAGAGTTCACACTCTGTAAAACTTGCTACGAGCCAGGCTTTATTCCAATGCACTTTATGTGTGTTAACTGATTCAATGTTCACGATAGCAGTATGAGGTAGGTATGATATTACTATACCCATTTCAAAGACGAGGAAACTGAGGCAAAATGAGGTTAAGTGACTCCCTGAAGGTCACACACCTCATCATTGGCAGAGCTAGCATTTGAACTGGGGCTGTGGGGGTCCCAAGTCTGTACTTTGAACTGTAACTAACAACTTGCATTTTCATTGTTGGTGCTATTTGATCTTACAGATAGTTCTGAGGTAAACGCATTTTGTGATCATTATCAGTGTAGAGAGAGATATAGAGCTAGAGAGAGAGAGAGAAAGGGGAGAGTTTGAGATTGAGAGAGAATGAACATTGCTGGGTTCAGGCCTGAAGACGTCAGGGCTAACGTTTTAGGGTTCTATGCTTCCTGTGATTGTCCAGTCACACAGGGAAAGTGTCAGAGAGCAGGACACAGTTTCAAATCTTTTGACATCAAGCCCAGTCCTTTTTACTGCCATATTATCTACTGTACGCCCCCTTCCTCTGTGCTAGACGCTGGGATGACTGGTCAGGTCAGATGACTGGTCAGGCACTTGCTTTCGGCACTATAGGTGCCCTGGGCTTCCCCGACCTCACCTCCTCTTTAGTCTTAGCCACTGTACCCAGAAACGTGGGATGCAATTGTAGCTCTCGCACTCGCTGGGCTGACGAATTTGACCTTGGATCTCCTTTAACTAAACTGGGGAAGTATGCTTTTAGGAGGCAAGATCGAAAGACAAAAGAAACAGGAAGGTCATTTTCACCCATGAATAGGAGAGGGAGAAGGCAGCTCCCTGCCCCTCTGCAGCTTACTTTCAGTAAGACAGATATTTAGAGCACATGACATCAAAGGTCTCTTTTAGGGCTGATAGTCTATGAAACCACAAGTTTAGGTAAGCCTGATATCTGTTATTAAATCTCCATCTGCTGGCTGGGGATCTCACTTAACCTCAAGGAATGACTCCGATGCAAAGTTCTCAACCTTGGCACTATTGGTATTTTAAATCGGATAATTCTGTATTGTGGGAGGGATGTCCTGCCTATTGTAGGATGTTTGGAAACATCCTGGCCTCTACTTACTGAGTGACAGTGACACAACCTTCTTGAGATGTGACAACCAAAATGCACCTCTAATGGTGGGAAGACACATGCTATGGTAGACCAGGACAAATGCTTTAAACTGATGGTGATGGTGGTGGTAATAATCATAAATGACATTCTTACTGTCTATTAAGCCTTAAGCGCCACTCTAAGCATTCACATACATTCTATTTCATCTTCATAATCACTCTATCATTTTAGCATTGTTAATCCTATTTTATAGAAGAGGAATCTGAGATTTAGTAACTTGATCAAGGTCACACAAAGCTCATAAGCAGTGAGCTGAGACCGCACTCCCAGGTATTCTGGCTTCACTGCTCACGCTGTCTGCTTTCCTCAGGGGGGTCCAGATTGCAGGACTCTATGTGTGGGTCCCTGGCTGGCACTGGTCCATGGGCTGTTTGCTCAGTCTCTGATGAATTAAATCAGTTAACGTCACTAAGCACACCATTTTAGTTCTGCTAATTGTTGTTGTTGCCCGACTTTCTCAATGAGGGAAGCATTGCTAAGATTTATACTCTGGTGCAAGCTCCTTCTGTTGTTGCAGGAAGACACAGAAATAAAAGTGCCATCTAACACTCGCACAGGACGTTATCTCTGACAAACTGTACTTCACTCTGTCTTCTCACACATTCCACACAGGTATGCCTTTCTAGACCTCACGAGGTTTACAGAAAAGGGTTCTGGTTGAGGAAGCCAAGACCCAGACAGGCACTTGTTTTTACTATTAAGAAATAACTCGGGCATTGTAGACCATGTGTCCAGCTTTCCCAATTTTCAGACCTCTGCTCTAAGATAGGGCTCGGTCTCTGATCTCTGATTATCAAGAAGTGGCTCTCTTCCTCCAGCTAGTTGCAGTCATCAGAAGGACCTGAAAATAAATCACCCTTATTTCATGAGCTTATCTATTATATTTCTCGATTATTAAATGAAACAGAAATCACAATTCTTTGGGTGTACTTTCCACTCAAAAAGCCCAGTGCTTTTTTGGATCTCTGGCCTTGTGGAGAGAGCATGGGTTTGGAATCTGTCCTAGCTTCCCTATTTACAAACTATTGGCCTTAGGCAAGTTTTTAAGCCCCTCTGAGCCATGCTTCCCTCACCTGTCGGATGTACATAATCACATGGACCTGCTGGGTTTCTGCAGTTACGAAATGATGTATGTATTGTGTGTTTAGTGCCTAGAAAGATGTCACCCTTACGGTGAACTCTAAGTCATCGTGACTCTTGTCGTTTTTCTTCTATCTAGTATGTACTTTCGGATCCACTTCCATATCTTTAAAACTGTCTTGTAACCAATAACAGTGGAAACTAATCTTTATCACTAATGTACAATCCATCTGGGAGAAAGCCATTTCTTCTTAAATCAGGACTAATCAACGGGGCCTCATGACCCATCTCTGTCCTGCCATGAGCTCGCAGGAACAGATGGAAAATGGGCCAGGCAGATGGAAAAACTCCATTTTCCAACAGGAATTATTTATTTGTGAAGTTGGAACCACTTGGAATGAATATTTTGAATTAGGAGGATGAAATATTATAAGATTCACAACAGGACCATGAAATTAACTAATGCAGTGCGACTACCAGAGTCATTGTGAGGCGAGGAGGAGGAATAATAATGGGGCTTTTAAAAAATGGTCCAAACACATAAATTATTTACCCATGTGTGTCAATGACTCCCTTGAAGCTGTTTGGCTGATGGCGTTATCCTTCATGCCCTTCCTAAGAAAAGCCGTTCTGGTTGCAAGTTCTTTTGTCTTTATGCCTG